AGGGGGCAGTAGCGCTCCAGTCGAGAACAGCTGCCCAGCAGATTCTCCAGCGGCCGGCTTTTTAACTTAATTAACTCTATCTTTGAGATTGTTTTACAGCATGATGTGGCTCTACATCCCTTTCAGGCTGCGTGGTGTTCGTCATATGGAGGTACTGCCATATAATTCGCTTTTGATGGCATTCTGAAGGCCGAGTTGGTGTGTCATTTCACACGTGTGCAAGACCATCAGAGGAGGAATTCCTAGAAGTGGCCTGGCTGGGTCACAGGGTTTGGGCATTTGGAATTTTGATAGTTATGGCCCCAAACCGCCTTCCACGGAGGTAGATTACTCCACACTCCTCCAGCAGAGCAGGACAGAGCCTGTTCCCAGAGCTCTGGGAGTCAGACTGGAGGGTGGGAGTGGCAATTCTGGAAGGTCTTAGCCAGGACCCTTCCCCTCCGGGGACCCCCTCCTCGGACCACTCCCAGGGTCCCCCCACTGAAGCCTTGGGTTCCAGAAACTCACCAACCCACCTTCTCAGGCCCTGGGGGAGGTCAAGGGGCCTTTCCCCAGGTGGGCTGATCCTGGCTATTACATTTATTTATTCTTTAACCTTCAAACAAAAGACAGCTTTGTTGCTTTGTGATTCTATAAGTAATGCATCTGTATTTCAGAGGGAGAAATCCCTTTCCCCACCAACTTTTTATTTTGAAAACTTAAAGGGGCCAGCCCTGTGGCTTGGCGGTTAAGTGCGCGTGCTCCGCTACTGGTGGCCTGGGATTTGGATCCTGGGCGCGCACCACCGCACCGCTTGTCCCACCATGCTGAGGCCGCGTCCCACATACAGCAACTAGAAGGATGTGCAACTACAACATACAACTATCTATTGGGGCTTTGGGGAGAAAAAGGGAAAAAAAAGAGGATTGGCAATAGATGTTAGCTCAGGGCCAGTCTTCCTCAGCAAAAAGAGGAGGATTGGCATGGATGTTAGCTCAGGGCTGATCTTCCTCACCAAAAAAAAAAAAAAAAAAAAAGAAGAAAACTTAAAAAACTTCAGAAAAATGGCAAGAAAGGTACAGTGAGCACCATGTAACTTCACTTTGAGTCACCAGTTGCTCACATTTTGCTACACTGGCTTTCTCTCTATTTTTGCTGAACCGTTTGAGACTAAGTTGCAGACCTTCACCCCTAAACACTTCAGTGTGCATTTCCTAAGAACAAGAACATTCTCCTACAAAACCACAGCATGGTTATTGCACTCAAGAAATTTAACATTGATAAAGGAATAACTACTGGGCAGGCCTCATTCGATTTTCTCCAGTTGTCCCAATAAAGTCCTCTATAACTCCCCCTCCCCTCCAGCCCCTCGGGTCTGATCAAAGATCTGAGTTGGCCTTTAGCTGTGGGCCAGGAGTTTGGGTTTCTCCTCTCCGGCTCAGGGGTCCTGCAGCCCCGGGTCCTGCCTCCAGGAAGGTAGCTCTAGGTGGGGACAGTGCTGGCCCTGAACTCACAGGTGTTGGTGGGGTCCACAGGAAGGATCTGAGCCCTAGTCAGCCCCATAAATGTCTTCCTAGGCCCTGGGAGTGCAAGCTGGAGGGGACGTCGCCCCTGCCCCAGGCTTGCCCTGGAGGAACTCAGCCTCACAATAAACTACCTTCTGTTTATGTTGCTCCCCCGGTGCCAGGCAAGGACTTGTCCTCCAGTCTCCACAACACGCTCGCTCGGTGGCTGGTACTATTTTCTCCCCTTTTACAGTTGAAAGGAGGAGTTTCTGTTTTTCCATCTGATGAGGATGGAAACATGAGGCCACAGGGGGCCGCATGCTGCCACTGGAATGACAACTAGGTGTGTGGTCAGCGTGAACTGCAGCTGAGTCAGCCCAGACAGGGCCCTTCTCCTCCTCAGGCCTCTAGGTTGCTCCTCTGGGCAGGCAGGTCTAGCCAGGGCTCCAGAGCTCCATGGCATCTCAAGGCTCCTGCTCCGCCCTGCCGCCACCATGATCATCCTTGGGAGACGCCTCTACCAGCTCCGGTGGTGCCTCATCGCCCACGGATCACCTCTCCCGTCTGCCCAGACTGCTGCCACTGCGCCGGGCTTTGGTCACACCAGCGACGCCCTTGGGTTTTTTAAGCCTCAAAGCATTTAAATGAGGAGGAAGGCACATGATCTACTCAGCTCCGGGTCCCTGACAGGGGTGTCTGTCAACTCTTCACGTGGCTTTCACAGACGTAACTTCTACTAAAAGTGTGTAAGTGAGGCAGGACAGGTGACATCCTCTTTATTTTCAGATGAGGAAACCGAGGTGTAGCGACAGATCTTTGAGGCATTCTATTGCAAGAAGAAAATCAGAAATAGAGTGCAAGCCCTTCGTTCTACTGGGGGTAAAGTGAGCCTCAGAGGTCACCAGGTTTTTCTTTTTTTGTGTGTGTGAGGAGGACTAGCCCTGAGCTAACATCCGATGCCAATCCTCCCCTTTTTCTTTCCTTGAGGAAGACTGGCCCTGGGCGTTAGGGCCAGTCTTGTTAATCCATGCCCATCTTCCTCCATTTTATATGGCACGCCACCACAGCATGGCTTGACAGGCGGTGTGTTGGTGCGCACCCAGGATCCGAACCTGCAAACCCCGGGCCGCCGAAGCGGAGCGCGCGCACTTAACCACTTGCACCACAGGGCGGGCCTCTGAGGTCACCAGGTTTGAGTCCTGGCTGTGCTACTTTGCCCCTGTGTGGTCTTGGCTCTTGTGAGGAAGGGGTAAGGAGTTGTTACTATCTGTGCCTGCATTAAGAGGCAGAGATAGGACCAGAACCTCATTCTGGTCTCTAAAGGCCCTTTCCAGAACTTTCTGTGCCACAGGTCCCTGGGGGGCAATCCATAATAATAATAATAGTAATAACAGTAATAATCAGTGAGTGCCTGCCACACGCCAGACAAGGGTCTAAGCACTTTACAGCTATTAACTCGTTAAATCCTCACAAAATTCCTTTGAGTAGGTGCATTATCACCATCAGCTCATTTTATAAATGGGGAAACTAAGGCTTAGAGGCGTTAAGATCCTTGCTAGAGGTCCCACAGGCGCTGCAGGAGGCAGCGAGTTGGAGCCAGGTCCCTACCTCCCACGTGCTCTGATCTCCAGGCAGGTAAGTGGTGCTGCCGTGCACGCTGTATATCTTGGAGTTCTTGGGGCCTGAGGCCTGAAGAGATGAAACCTTGGCAGGTGAGCGGGTCACCGCAGGGAGCAGAGCGCCCGGTTGAGAACGGGGTGGGGTGGGAGCTCCTCTGGACTCAGGTAGGTGGGGGTTGAATTCTGGCTCTTTCACTTGAGTGACCTTGGTGCAATTTGAACTCTGGGGCCTCCGTTTGCTCATTTGTAAAATGGGAGATGGGAGAAGTCTGGGTTCTACTCCACACTAGGAGTCATGACACAGAAGGACCTCAGTTTCCTCCTCTGTAAAATGGAGAGAGTAGTCTTTTGGCTGTTGGCTGTGAAGCTGTTCAGGTAAACCATAACTTTGAGGCTGTAAAAGACCTTAATAGAGGTTGGGTTCTAAGGCCTTAACTTATAAAATCAGTTTATAAAATGATTTTGTGTCATTTCAGACCTCGGCTTGTTGTGGGATGGGAATGGAAGAGGTGCATTCTCTTGGGCCTTCTAGACTAGCGGAGACTTCACTCTTCCAAGATTGCACTCTCCCTGCCCCCAAATTCGGGCTTTCAAGCGGTGGGGAGCCGCAAAGCGTTTTCTCAGGGAAAGGTGATGGTTGGCCCCTTGGAATCCACGTGCTAACCCGGCCTGCGCCGGCTGGCTGGGCAGCTCCAGGCCCGAACGCAACCATTCTGGGCGTGAGGGGCGGGGAAGCTGGTGACGTCAAAGTCACGGCCTAGCCTTCTTAAAGGCGCAGGCTCGCACACTGTTAAGTTTTCCCGTGTTAGGACAAATAATCACGACAGCACAAAAGTTTTAAAGGCGAGGCAGGTGGTGGGGTCTCCGGTGCGAGACTGGCCCGGGAAGAAATGTGTCTCCCTGACAAGCGGGATCAGAGACGTCAGCGCAGGATTTAAGCCCACCTGTACCGGGGAGCCAGCCTGATGCGGGGGGAAAAGCACTTGGCCGGTTCGAATTCCAGGTTCTTAACTTTGAGCCTCAGTTTCACCTTCCGTAAAATGGGGTCAATAATAATCTACTTCTAAAAGCTTTGACACTTAGAAGAAATAACAGTGTGAGAGTAACCAACACAAAAATGTCGGTCCCCTTCTCCCCTACTCAGTCCTCCCACTGTGCGAAGGAGGAATCCGAGGCCCAGAGCGGTGTAGTAACCTGCCCAAAGTCACGCGGAGGTAGGACGAAGCCCAGGTCAAGCCCAGTTGAACCCGGGTCTCCCGGCCCCCGGGTCCCCGGGCTAGACTTTTCTCTGTATCCAGCATGTCTTTCCCAGGTTACCGCTCGTCTAACTCCATTGCCCACACCTGCACGGTACCCTGCAGTTCGTCGGCTGGTTTTGGAGCTGCGCCTCAGTCGATTATCTGCAAAATGGGGATGATGCTAATTCCTGTCTGATACGGTCGCCATGCAGTTGTGAAACCTCAGCAAGGAGCCCGGCGGGTAAATGTTTGCCATCACTATCTGATCGCCCCGCGGCCCTGGAAGAACTGATTCAAACCCCCGCCGCCACGCAGACGACGACACTGAGAAAGAGGGGAAGAGTGTTACCCACGCAGGTCAGCAAAAGTTAGATGAAGCGCTGGGACTCCGGGGGCAGCGCTCGGCCGAGGGACGGGTGGGTTGGAGTTTGTGAGTGTACGCTGTCAAGTGCGGTGCTGCCGCCAGGTCACACGCGACGCGGAGATCCGCCACCCTGGCACGCGTGCCCGTCGGGGCACCGGCAGTGCGAGGTCGCGGGGAGCTGCGTGTCCCGGACGCGGCGGCGAGTGGGCGGGGCCGGCGTCACTCCGGGCATGGGGCCGGTCGGCCCGTGGTGGGCGGGGCCTCGCGGCGCGGTCCCGGGGGCGGGGCGGGCTCGTAGTCTTCCGAGTCGGCCTCGCTGCGAGGCGGGCGCGCGGGGACCTTGTACCCGCCGCGGAGCCACTATGGGCCGGCCCGGCCCCGGGCGCCACGCCGCGCGAGCACCGGCCTAGAGCCAGGTGGGCGGGGCAGGGCCGCGGCTGAGGGCCGGGCTGGAGGCGGAGGCCGGGACTCGGGTCTTTGGGGGGTCCCGGGGCGCCTGAGCCGGGGCTGGGCCGGCGACCCTGAGTCGCGGGCTGTCGGGCCGACCTAGTCGGCCCCACCAGGCGCCCCCTGCACGCGGGGCCGGGACAGGGAGTGTCGCCGAGGGGCAAGGAGAGATCCTGTCTCCCGATCCGTACTTCGCGCTCTCTCGGCCGAGCGCTCCGGCCTGCATTTTGGGGAGAGAGAGCAACGAGATTGTCCTTCCCGTCCAGGCCCGGGGCCAGGCCCCTCCGGCCTCGGCAGGAGGAGTGCGGGGAGGGCCGGGACCCCAGCCACTTGTCCTGAGAATGGGGACCGACCATTTGCCGCCATCAGAATTGTTCACATGTTTCCGTCACTGCCCGGCCCCGAGTCTCCACGCCCAGCGAATGGGGCTCGTTGTGCCCGCCTCGGGGCTGGTGCTGGAATCGGGGGCTCAGGGGGCGGCCCAGACGTTTTGACCTTGGAGCCCCCAGGGCCAAACCGGGCGCTTGCGCTGAGGAGGTGCCCAGTAAGCGTGTGTGGCGCGGGTGAGGGAAGGGCAGCGGGCCGTCCACCATCCCAGCTTCCTTCCTAACTCCTCCGGGGTGGTATTGGGAGATTTCCTCGCCTCTCTGAGCCTCCGCTTCCCCGTGGGCCAAGTGGAGCTAACAGTAACCACTTTAAAACGTTATTGTGAGGATCCCTTAACTCAGACTCAGTGAGTGAATTTGCTGAGGGTCAGGTAAAGTCCCCAAGTGTTCCCGCCTCGTGTCTCCCCCTCCCACTGACTCCTGTTTTGTGAGTTGACGCTCCAATTTTCTGAGGTTTGTTTTTCAGAATTGAAGCTCCAAAATGGCTGACCAGGACCCTGGGGGCATTAGCCTCCTCCAACAAATGGTGGCCTCAGGCACTGGGGCTGTGGTCACCTCTCTCTTCAGTAAGAACCAGGGAGGTGGGGGCGGGGCAGTTGGGGACTGGGGCAGACCTGAGATTGAGGGTAACTTGGTTCTGGAGGAGGGGTGGGATGGGGTCCTGAAAGGAGCCTTCAGCGCTGCCCTCCCTGCCTAGTGACACCCCTGGATGTGGTGAAGGTCCGCCTGCAGTCTCAGCGCCCCTCGCTGGCCAGCGGTGAGTGCCCGACCCTGGAGCCGATAGGGGGTGGTGTCTGGGCAAAACAAGGGTCTCCCAGAGATGGGCTCCCTGGGGCAGGTGGGAGCTCCCCTGACTTGAGGAGCTACCTTGTATTTTAGAGCTGATGCCTCCTTCCAGACTCTGGAGCCTCTCCTTCGCCAAGTGTGAGTGCCCAAAGCCCCAGGGAGCCCAAGAGTGTCCAGGGAAGGGGGTGGCCCCGTCTCCCCAGGGCACCTGTGGGCCCTATAGCCACGGACTCGCGCATGCTTCCGGGTCATTTCATCCGGCTGTTTGTCCTACACAAGAACATCCACCCAGAGACCCCAGCCTCTGCTGGCCCTCCAGGGCTGGGGGCTCCCTGCTGGGTTCCAGGGCCCTGTCATCCTAACGTCCCCTCCCCTTCCCCAGTGCCCTCCTCTTTCCAATCCACAGGGAAGTGCCTCCTGTACTGTAATGGTGTCCTGGAGCCCCTGTACCTGTGCCCAAATGGTCCCCGCTGTACCACCTGGTTTCAGGACCCCACTCGCTTCACCGGCACCATGGTGAGGAGCAGCTGTGCCCTCAGCTGGGTCTGTCGGTATTCCTGAGGGATTTGGATTGCTCGGTGAGGGATTTGGATTGCTCGGGCAGCAGACCCAGGAAAGAATGGGTAGTACAAAGCCTGTAGTCCAGTTCAGTTTGGGAAGGGCTTCCCTGAGGAGGTGGTGCCTCTGAGGTTTTGAGGGGTGAATAGGAGTCCACCTAGAACCAAATGTGGAATTGCATATGTGGAGGCCTCAGGGGCTACTGCCTCTCAGCAGGACCCAGGGCTGTGGGCAGAGGTGAGGGCATCAGGCTAGGGCCTAGCCTCGGCCAGCCCCGTCACAGACCGTGTTCATGTTCATCCTTCCTTCCCTGGGCGGGTGTCTGCTTGGCCAGGATGCCTTTGTGAAGATCGTGAGACATGAGGGCATCAGGACTCTATGGAGTGGCCTCCCAGCCACCTTGTGAGTACTCTAGTCCTGCATAGTGCCTTCCCCTGGTACCCGGCTGATCCCTTGCTCTCCTGTTGGCTGGCTGGGTCGGGCAGCAGAGGCCTGGGAGGTTCAGGAGCCTTTGGGAGTCCCAGCTAACCTCTGTTCCTACTCCCAGGGTGATGACTGTGCCAGCCACTGCCATCTATTTCACCGCCTATGACCAACTCAAGGCCTTCCTGTGTGATCGAGCCCTGACCTCTGACCTCTACGCACCCATGGTGGCTGGCGCACTGGCCCGCCGTGAGCATAGCCTTGGGCCTTTGGTCTCCCTCTGACCCCACCTGTGCCTGAGCCCAGTCCTGGCTCCCAGCTCCGACCTCTGGCAGCTTAGGGGTGGGGGGATGTCTTGGGGCCCCAGACCCTGGGGTGTGGGGCTGCCATTGGGACCTGCGAGCTGACCCCTCCCCACTGTTCCCCCCAGTGGGCACTGTGACTGTCATCAGCCCCCTGGAACTGGTACGAACAAAGCTGCAGGCTCAGCACGTATCATACCGGGAGCTGGGTGCCTGTGTCCGAGCTGCCGTGGCTCAGGGCGGCTGGCGCTCTCTCTGGCTGGGCTGGGGCCCCACTGCCCTTCGGGATGTGCCCTTTTCAGGTAGGCACCAGCGGTGCAGGAGGTGGGGTAAGGGAGCCCTTGGATGACACACAACAGGTCTGCAGCCAAGTCCCCACCTTGCCACTGCTGACCTTGAAGTTACTTAACTTCTCTGAACCTTGACTATCTCATCTGTGAAACGGGCCTGGCAGGCAGGGTGTTCGCCCGGGTTTTCAGCAGTTAGGTCCTGCAGAGGGCTTGTTAGAGAAACTGGCGTGTAGCAGGCAGGCCTCCTAACTGGGAGGGAGTAACTGTCATGCTATAGGTCAGTGGAAGATGAGAGATCTGGGGTCCACCCACTGCTCTTCCCATCTCTGATGAGTGTACCCCTGTGCCCTCAAGCCCTGTACTGGTTCAACTATGAGCTGGTGAAGAGCTGGCTGAGTGGACTCAGGTCAAAGGACCAGACATCTGTGGGCATCAGCTTTGTGGCTGGCGGCATCTCAGGGACGGTGAGTTGACCAGACTGGCGAGGCCAGCAGAGTCCTGGGGGGCTCTGAGGGTTGTTGGGGATGCTCCGGAGAAGAGTCCTTGCATAGCATTGCATCAGCTGCCTGTCAAGGGGCAAGCTCGGCCTCCCTGGTGAAGCTCTAGCTGAGGCCTGCAGACCCCCTGGCTGGCTGTGAGGGATAGGGGTCCTGGGAATGGAGATGAGCCCTCTCCCCACCCTACCAGGTGGCCGCCATCCTGACTCTACCCTTCGATGTAGCGAAGACGCAGCGCCAGGTCGCGCTGGGAGCGGTGGAGGCTGTGAGAGGTAAGGGGCCTGGCTGGTGGCAGGCGGCAGGCAGGGGTCCGAGTGGGGTCTTACAGGCCATGCCTTGCCTTTGCAGTGACGCCCCCTCACTTGAACTCCACCTGGCTGCTGCTGCGGAGGATCCGGGCCGAGTCAGGCACCAGGGGACTCTTTGCAGGTGAGCGTCTGTGTGTGTCCAGGCCCTGGCGGGTGTGGGGCCTCCTGGAACCCTGACCCCTGATGCCAGCCACTCCCTCCACTGTAGGCTTCCTCCCGAGGATCATCAAGGCCGCTCCCTCCTGTGCTATCATGATCAGCACTTACGAATTCGGCAAAAGCTTCTGCCAGAGGCTCAACCGGGATCAGCCTCTGGGCTCTTGAAAGGATCGCAGGGCAAGGCCCCTGTCTCTTCCGGGGATGGGGGCGGGGTGGGAGATTGAGTCAAGTGCCTGGTCCTTAGCACCCGGGGGAGGGGCCTCGTCTCCCTTCCATCTCAGCTATGAGCCCCAGGGGTAGGGGGCTGCCCCTCTGGGCCCTCCCAGGCCCCCCTCAGACAGCTTTCTTCCTGCTGCTCCTCATTTCCAAGCCCCAAGAATCACTTTTCCACCTCTGCAAATTCAAGACCAAGTCTGCTACCTGCCCTTCCCCATTTCCTTGTGTGTTTGCTGTAGCTGGGCCTGCCCCCAGGAGCCACCAAACCCTGGGCCTGGCCTAGTCTGCACCCACCCCTGTTCATTCCTTGAGTCTAAAAATGATGAACTTCTCTCAGTGCCCGTGACTTGGGGGGTCTAGGGGCGGGGGGCAGGGAGGAAGTGGGGCTGGGGAGTGATTTGCAGAGGAGGCCTGGGAGGGACCTTGATGTTGGCTTTGGGCTACCCAGGTGGTACCCATGGAGAGGACCCCCCCCCAACTTAGAGCCGGGTCGGGGTGAGAACCCAGAGTTGAGGGGGCAACAGGCAACATCCTGGTAGTGTTAGGGCCAGGGTGGAGGGTGGTAAGACCTCTCCTCAAGAGCACACTTGAGTGACAACAGAGGAGGGAGGGTTGCTTCACTGCCAGGCTTTGGCCTAATGGAAGGGTCTGCAACTTTGGGCCAAAGCTGAATTGCCCAGGACGATGGAAGGAAAAGGGCCCTGCCAGGGCTTGCCACGTTCATCCTGCCCTCAGGGTGTTCACTGTCTTCTCTGTCTGAATTTAAGCAAGTTATTAAAGAGTATCAGGTGAAAGGAACACTTAGATGTGTTGGTTCTGGGCAGACCTAATGTTTAGGACACGTCATATAAAAGCCACCCACTCCCTGGGTTCTGATCTGTCTGCTCCCACAGGGCGCACACTGGTTCCGTCTGATCCGGTGTCACCTTGATTATGGGCCTGGCACTGGCTCCACCGCATTCTGCCAACCTCCACGGCCCCCCACAGACAAGGCTGCCCTCAGTCCTCTGGTTTTTATTTGCCTGATCCCCTCAGAGCCCCCGCCTTCGGGGCTGAGGAAGGAGTGACTCCAGGGGATACAGGGGGACAGACAGGAGAGGCATGGGAGGTGGGGGTGCCAAAGCTGGGCCACCAGCTCCTGAGGAGAAGGGGAGATGAGCGAGGGAGAGTCCAGTACAGAGCCAGCCAGGCATCAGGGTCACCAGAAGAGTGCAACAAGCTTCTCCAAGAGCTCCCGGCGACCTTGGTGCTCCTGCTTCCTTGCCCAACCGGCTTCCCTTTGCAGCCCTTGCTTCCTCGGGCAGGAAGCTAAGACAGGAAGAAGCAAAGGGCATCTTTCCTGAGAGACCCCTGGCTGGGTGGGCAGCGTTCTCTGGAAGGGTGGCCTGGATTGAGGGTGGCCTGAGGAAAGGCAGCAGGTGTCTGTGCCCCTGGCAGGTGGGGCTGGCACTGCCCACGCCGCTCCTCAGCTGGGGCTCAGTGCTGGGCTGCCCTCAGGACTGTCGCTCACCAGGCACTCGTTGGATTTGAAGCTCGCCAGGGACTTGCAGCTGGGGATGGAGGCCAGGGAGCCGCAGAGGCCCAGCATGGAGGGCGTGGGGTCCTTCCCTGGGGAGAGAGGGCGGGTGAGGCCGGGCCAACCGGTCTGCGTGTGTGTGAGGTTGTGGGGATGCGGTACACAGGCGCAGGCAATGAAGGGGCAGCCCTCAGGTTACCGCCAGGAGACTTTCCTCATTTCTGGAGCATTTGCCATTTTTGGTTCAACCTTGGTAAGCACCTGGCCATGCCATGCACAGTGCTGGGGACACTGTATTGTAATCGTCAGTTTATGTCTCTGTCTCCCCTGAGGTTCATCCTCTCTCTTTGTCCATTTATTAAACACACGGTGAGCAGTTGTTCCACTCCAGGAACTGGGGATACAGAGAACGGACGAGACACGGTCCCTGCCCTCGTGGAGCTCACAGTCTGGTGGGGAGACAGACACGGACAGTCACAAACACAGTGTGGCGGGGTTACATGTCCATAGCCTGCCTTGTCTCAAAGATCTAGGGTCATCCAGGACAGTGGATTTTAGAAAGAAAAGACAGGAAGGCCAGGCACCAGGAAAACTAGGGTGGGAAGCCCCAGCGAAGCCAGGGGGAGGGCAACACAAAATGCATGCGGTGAAGTCCTGGACATTCGCTTGAAGGGAGCCGCTAATTTGGCTCTGAGCTTCCTGGCAGCCAAAGAAAAGGGGGAAACAAAGGTCAGGCGAGCAGTTCACAGAGTGCATGAGATAAAAGCAAATTAGTTGTGTGAAGAACTCCCCAGGAATTCGTGAGCCCCTTGAGGATGTCACGATACCAAAAAGCCATTAGCCCTCACCATATGCCAACACGGGTGATTATTTTAATCAACATCCCCGTTTTACAGATGAGAAGGGCTCGGCAAGGTGAAGTGATTGATGGAGCTCGCACGACCAGAGGAGGCGCAGCTGGGATTTGCACAGGGTCTGCCCGATACCCCAAACCAAGCTCTTAATTGCTGTGCTAAGCTCTCTGAAGGGCTGAGGAAATGAGAGAATTGGCCAGGGCCTCACTAGAGGACCCAAGGCCTGGCCTCAGCCCTTAGTGGGGTGCTGGGTGCTAGATCGGGGGGCTCACCGATAGGGCCCCAGGGCTCCTCGTCCCGCTTGCCTTCTCCCAGGCGCTGGGAGTCCGAGCTCAGACTGGCTTCAGCTGACAGCGGCTCCGTGCTCATGAAACTGTGTCTGTGGCAGAGTGGAGAGCTGGTGTTGGGGCCGAGGTCCCCCCCATGCCCCTCTTCCCCAGAAGGGACCAGCACTCAGGCCCAAGCCGAGCCTAGCTGGAGCTTACCTCCGGTAGAACTTGGGGTTGTTGGCACCCTCGGCCCCATTGAGTGTTCCCAGTGACGGCCATTGGTTGACCAGGGCCGTGGTGAGTTCCTTGGAACCGTGGGCCAGGGAAGCGTGGTCACCGGGGATCAGACCTGTCCTGGGATGGGGAGGAGGGGTCAGGCCTGGCTGGGAGAGGAAGCAGAAGTGGGGAAGGGGGGCTCAGCACAGGGTTGGGGGAGAGGTTAGGAATGAAACCTGGGTAGCAGAAATGGGATAGAATGTTGAGGATCAGTGGGGCAGATCCCAGGAGTCAGTGGAGGGTACTGGGGGTCAGAGGGGTGACAGGGATTGGTGCACTCATGTTGGGGGTTACAGGCAATAATGGGGTGTTGTGGGAGTCAGGGCGTTGGGGGAGTCGAGGGAGAATGGGAATATTGGAGGGTGATGGGGTGTCTTGGGGGATCATGCTGGGAGGGCATAGGGTGATGAAAAGGTTTACGGGGAGCTGTTGGAGGGATGGGTAGGGGTGATGTCAGGGGTCACTGAGTGATGGCAGTCAGTGGCCCTATGTTGCAGATCAGGAGAGTGTTGAACAGAGAATAATGCACTCTTGTTGAAGGTCATTGAGTAACATTAGAGGTCCTTGCAAGTAATGTTGGGGTCCCTGGGTAATGTTGATGGCCATTCTAGCTGATGTCGGGTGACTGAGGGTGAAGTGGGGAGCCGGTTTTGCGGGGGTCACTGGATCTTATTCTGAGGATAACGTTAGAAGATCACTGGGGGGACCATGGGGTGGAGGTGATGGGATGGGTGGTTTGATGCTGGCGGTTGGCTGCGTTCAATGCTGGTATTAGGAAAGGTGATGTTAAGAGTCAATGGGGCGGTGGTGGGGGTTCCCTGGGGTGATGTGGTCGGGGTGGCCGGGGTCAAGGGTCAGGGCGGCGGTGGCGCTCACAGCTGCTCCTGCAGCTCCAGGATCACGCCTTCCAGCTCCCGCTTCTCGCGCTGGTTCTGCGCCGCCGCCTCTTCCAGCTGCAGCTGCAGCCGCCGGTTCTCCGCCTCAAGGTCCTTCAGCTGCGACTCGCGCAGACGCACCAGCTCCTCCAGGTAGCCCTGCGGGGCGCCGGCTCAGCCCGGGCGGCGGGAGGAGGGGTCCCAGCGGCCGCCCGGCCCGTGCCCGCCCTGCCCAGCGCCTCGCACCGCCGCCGCGCCCCGCGCACCTTCTGCGCGTAGACGATGCGGAACTTCTGTTCCATCTTGTGCCACTTGCTGTACCAGCTGTCCTCGTCGGTGACGAGCGGCAGGTACGGGTGCTCGGGCGAGTTGTCCTCGCTCGTGCTGCTCTCGGCGCTGTGCCGCTCCTCCTCGTCCGTCAGATAGTCGTAGCTTGGGGGAGGGAGCAGTGGGCACCGCCGGCCCTGCCCCGCCCGCGGGTCCCACGCCAGCCCGCTTGGGCAGGGGGACCAGGAGGCCCTCCCAGCCTGCCTCCCTCCCGCCATCCCCGCCCGCGGGGAGGTGGGCTGTCCGCTCCACCGCAACAATGGGCCGCTGACCTCTGGGTGAACTTTAGGTAGGGCGTGTAGTCGATGACCACGGGGGTCTTCCCGTCCAGCACTTCGCCCTTTAGGCAGAAGCTGGGGGCAGACGAACCACAGGGTTAGGGCGGATATGAGGGGATGGGAGTGTGGACATTCGCGGAGAAACAGGCCCCCCACCGCCACCGCTGCCCGCACCTGAAGTCTATGGCGCTCAGTCCGATCAGCATCCCCGTGAGGACCGTGGCTTCCTCCCGCAGCATGATGGCTCCCGAGTCATAGAAACGCCTGTGGGAGGTGGGGGGGGACGACTGATGGTGCAGCCTCCTCCCGGGGAGCCCCCACCTGCTGGGACTTCTTTTGTTGGCTTGCTGCAAACTTTTCCTAGAGAAAGGAGGTGTCCCCTTCCTGCTCACCCCTCAGCTGTGGATCTTGTCTCCCCCTCCCACTGGGGCTCACTGGGGATAGCGTCTGTATCTCCCACCTATTAGAACGGGTGTCCCCTGAGAATAGACTCTCCTTCATCCTCTCAGCTAGCGCTTCCCCACCAAGTACTGGGTCACCCAGATTCTTAAAATCAGGAAACAAGTTCTAATCATTAGTGCTTAGCATACAGCAGGTGCTCAAAAATATGTTGATGTGAACTCTGCAATGTGAGGACAGAGGTCAATGCAGTAAAACATCAGGTTGGGTGTGAACACTGGTGGGGGGCACAATGCCCCCTATAGTACTCAGCTTCAAACTCACCGTCCCCCACTGGCACATCCTGCCTGTGACCTGCCCCCAGGACCCAATCTCTCTGCGAACTGAAACTCGACACGCTGGGACTCTATATTCCATGGGTGGCAAGTACAGACGGCTGCCATTGTTTGGGGAGCAGGTAGGGCTGTGTGTTGTAGGTCATGGAACAAGACCAACCGGTAAAATGATACATAGTTGAGGCTTGTCCAGAGGTGTGTATGAG